ATCTGATTCGTTATTTGAAATTTCACAGGTACAATGTTGGATTAATGGAACTAACGAGCAGAAGAGATAAATACAGCACTATCAAAGCACTAAACGGCTGCTATCAAGATTTAGCGAGACAACTGAAAGTCCCTTGCTCTAATCACAGAAGATTCAGATATCACCATCACATGAGCACTGATGGCATCCATCCAGATGCAAAGCACGTCAGAGAACTGGCAGCAGATTTTCAGGAAGCTTTTAATATGCTGAAAAGAAAATCAATGACTATCAGATGAGACCACGCACAGATCATGGCTGAGTTTTAACTTTTTAATTCTTTAAAAGTGAATCACAGGCCTAGCTCTAGGCTGAAGACTCTCGGCAGCAGAAATATAAAAACCTAGATCAAGGCCCAAGATATAACAACGTGGCTATAGCAGACCTAGCTCAAGGTCGAGGATTATCCAGCAGACATCTAAAACAGACCTAGCTTAGGGCCGAAGACTCGCCAGACACACAGAGATAACAAGCCTAGCTCAAGGCCGAAGACATTTCTCCTCACCTCTGAGTTTCAAAAGGGGTGACGAAATCAAACTATTACGATGATGATAAAGTTTAGCCAGTTTTTGTTTCGAGCACAAACATAGGAACTTCATATCTGAGTCTTCCGTTTTTTCAGCTTTTTTCCAGGCAAAATTAAGTCCTGAATTGAACGTCACATGGTGTCGAGTGATAACTGCTATTAAAGTAGTTTCAATCGTGATCCAATCGACATATTAGCTTTTGTAACACATTTTATTGAGCTATAAAATAGAAATATTTAACTTAAAACTAGTTTTTGAAGCCTGAGGTAGCGCTTTTCAGCATGAAGTTTTCAAAAAAATCAAGAAAAATTTTGCAGCAATAACTTTAGCAAATTGAATACAAAATCAACGCTTTCAAGCTTGGTTTTGTCTTTCTCCTCCTTACACGCACGAAACACAAATTTAGTGCACAAAACACACATTTCGTTAAAAATTACTGGCCGGAACCGTATGTGCTTCTTCTTGAACTTATGTTATAAAGCTTCAAAAGATAGGTGTATTATCATTCCGAGTATGCGGCAACACCAAGGTGGTCTAAAAAACTGAGATGGAAAAATGAATTGACAATTTTTAAAATATTTAAACAAAACCTCTTTCATTAAAGAAATTAGAGAGAATTTAATGGGGTAAATTTTTCATTTGGACAGGCGATGACTGAGCTAAACTAAAAAATATTGAGTTGAGTTTGTACTGATTTGGGACTGGCATACCATTACAGCATTGCGTTGTTAGGTGGCGAGGTTACTGACTGGTAGAAAAGAATGTACGCTGTCTCTGAGGGTTTGCTGGCCGTACTTCCAGGTGCAGTGGCCCCATCCGGGCCCGACTGACCAAAGAACTCCTCCATGATAACTGGGTCTATCTTTTCAATATTATCGTCGTCAAAAAGCAACCACAGTTCGGGGCCCCCGCTAATGACGGAGCTGGACTTGACCATACTAATGTAGTGACCCCTGTTTGGAGTGGATCCGGCATGGATGACCACGCCCACTAGTTCATACAGCACATCTGGATTAGGACACTCTTCAGACTGAAATAGCAGAAGCAGACAATTTTATGTATACTCATTTACTTGCACAGCCTAATAGAAGCGGTAAAGCTCGTTGAACCTATGAGCAATAATGGATTGCTGTGCAAAATAAGCAAATTTCTGAAAAAAATCTTGTTCTATTTAATTGAAATTCATTTAAATATCACAAAAAATTGCGCTGCAAGTAGCAAAGAATATTCCAACCATAGTAATCACCTCGTGGGAAAGCTCCAGGAAAAAAACGAATTTGGTAGCAGGAGCATAATTAAAGCGGTCAATTAAATTGAAATAATTGTAAATTTACTTATCCAGCGGTTTACAGGATTATCTACGCAACCGCTTCCTCATATAAATCAGTCTGAAAAAGGGAGTATTCTCGACAGAGAATTTTTTTTTGGAATATCATTACGGAATCCTTCTCTCAAAAACTATCACATCACATAATATCTCACTCGATCCCCTATGAGCCTTTTAAGGGTAACTGAAATTGTCGAGTTTAAAGGTAAGAAGTATAATACGTACGGTATTGACTATACGCAGTTGCATTGGGTACACAACACGATATGCGAGTTTGGTATATCGTCCAAGACTTTCCTGGAACTTGAAGCGCTTGAGATGGATGGCGAGCACCTGTGGCAATTTTTTGATCATCATCCTCTTACTGGCCTCCTGCTTGGAGCAGCAGGTCTCGCAGAAGAACTTGTGGTCTGAGTTTAAAGTCTCCGTGTGAGAGAAGTTCCTCAAACAATGCGTGATACTGCAGTTGTTTTCTACTATGTCCAGAGAAAGATCCAGAAAGTTCTCGTCCTTTCGTCGGACAGTCTCGCATGTTAAACACACAGTTTCGCTAGTCAGGACGCCCTGAAAGATATCATGAATCCAAGTCGTTCGCTCCCCGCTATCTTTACCGCACTTCGGATCTACTCCGGCGTTGGAGCTCCTAGAGGCACTGGATCCGACCCGAGGTAAGTTTGGATTGGAGCTGCTAGTATTAACATTTGTTATGCTAGGGTTATCTGACGCAACACCGCTGCTGTGTAATGACGTTTCTGCACTAGCGATATTGGCGGTGGCTGCTGTTGCAGGGGGCATTGTGAGTTTAGCGTTGTTCTTCTTGCTAGAGGGCAGAGTCGAAGCGCCGTTAGGGTGATGACTGCTTCCCAACTTCCCACCAGTCGATCCACTTAACAGAGCTGACTCCTCTAGAAGCTGTTCTTCACGAATTTTTTGGCCTGAATAAAGGCAACAAATATTCAAACGAAAAAAATCTAGAATCCGTGCATGTATTAAAAATTTGTTCATTCTATTGATAGATTCCAATAAAGGTAAGTTTTCTTACAGATCGGTGACTGGATCATAGAATATTTTCAAGCTAATATTGTTAATCAAGCTAGCAACGTTATAGCAAATCTTACTTATTATGACAGAATCAACAACTAAACGCTACTTGCTTTTTAATATGTCAGCAATAGTATTGAGTAGAAAATTCAGGAATTCGTGGGCGTCTTGCTGCAAATAATTGTCGAAAGATTCTAAAAATAAAACGATTAAAGCCGATTTCCAGACTAGTGAGATAAGAAATTTCTACAATTATACAGCTTGAATTACCATTATCTTTGCGCAACCTGGCTACAAACTTCTTAGGATGAAGACTGCCGGTGCGCTTCTTCTGATTGGCGATATTTGTGTAGAGATCATTCAAACAAGTCAGGAGATTCTCATTTCCAAACTGTTGAGTTGGTCCCATCCCTGCAGCTGTGCCAGAGTTAAGAGAGCCAGTATTAGCTATATGAGTGGGTGCTGTGACATTAATGATCGGAGTAGCTCCATTATTGGGCAAAATTCCATTAGATGCACTGTAGCCCCCCTTCAGATGATTGGTTAGAGATGTCTTGTGTTTCTTGGGGTTCAAGGGTCTGTAGCTGAGCACCTGCTCCCTGAAGGGTCTGCAGAAGTAGAGTGCCTGCAGAACTGCGTTGCAGTAGCACGTGTTCCCATAATTGATCAGACCAAAGTAGTTCTCATTTGGAGGCAAATGTTCAGTGCCGATCTCTTTTTCCAGAGCAGACGCGTGAGCACCCTGTAAACAAAACTTTCCAATAAACGATACTCAATCTAAACATTACCATTTCATTTCTGCGAATTAAAGATCTATCAAAGGCTGTTCGCCTGCTTAAATAGTCTGCTTCCCAAAATACCAGACCGTGTTATCTTTGCAGCTCTTTACCGACGCATTGCCGTTTTTCACAACTAGAATTTAACAGAGGCGGAGCTGTGCTTCGCAAACACTTGCGAGAACACGACCAAAAAGCAGCTCTATCAAGTGAAAAAAGAAAAAGTAGAAATAAGCCTCAAACTAGCAATAACTCGGCTACGTGTCGGATTCACATCTGCGACTAGCTAACTTGAGTCTCGCGCACTAACGAATCAGCCACGGATGCTTAAATTACCTCCAAAAACTATCCACCAAAAACGCAGCTACAAATGCTAATAAATTGCAGATTCGATACAGCAAAAGTAGCACAAAATACAAAAAGACACAATTTTGAATGTATCAAACTTGAAAGCATAAAGCCAAATTATGAATAAATTATCCATTTCAAACAAACTGCGAGACACTTTGAGTTGGAACATTTCTGAGGTCGAGCTTTTTATCATTGTACTGCTGTTCGAAACAAATAACTTTTTTCGGTTTATTTATTGAATTCAATGCATCAGCTGTGTGAGTTTTTTTCTAATTTAAAATGTCAAAGCACATGCTATCAAAAAGCTGTGAAAGTGCCCCCCAAAAGGGGCAAAAATATTTGCGACCTAGGATGACAAAAGAAAGAAAGTTATCTATTGGATCCATTCAAGTGAAAAAAAATTGAAGCAATTCAAGGTTTTTCATAGAGCGAACATAGAGCGTTTTTTTCTTAGTAAGCTATGCTATATAAGCGAAAAAACTTTAGATACATTTCACGTTGTTTCTTAGACAGCAAAAATTTGCAAAACTTTAGTTCTTCCTATTGAAGCTTTTCAAGCAATGAAACATTGAATTAAGTTGTTTCTTGGACTAAACCATTTTTCGAAAAGTAAAAATTCCTTTGCAAGCTATTCAAGCAATAATTTCGAGAAATATTTCAAGTTGTTTCCTGGGGCAAATCAATCTGACATAAATTGAAGCAAGCTAATCAAGCTAGGAAACTTTAATATCTCAAATTATTCCATGAAGCGAACCGGTTAGCAAGAGCGTTTTTCTACTGAAGCCATTGACGCAACGAAATTTGAAATATTTCAAGTTATTTCGTGGAGCGAATTGGTTCGCAAAAAATATTATTAAGCGAACCATTCATGGTAAGAAAACCAACATTTCAAGTTAATTCCCAAAGTCAATCCTTTAGTGCTAAAACTGAGTTTTTCTTTTGAAGCCATTCATGCGATGAAAAAATTTCAATTCATTTTATAAACCAAATCGGTTCACGAAAAAATCAAGTTATTCTTAGCAAGCTATTCAAGCAAAGAAAATTTGAAATATTTCAAGTTTTTCACAAAGGGAATCGGAGTAGGAAAAATGAAGTTTTCTAGGCGAGCTATTCAAGTGATGAAACATCGAAATATGTCTAGTTATTTTATTAATCGAATCGGATGGCAAAAAAATCAAGTTTTTCTATTGAAGCCATTTAAGCGATTAAAATTAAAATAATTCAAACTATTTCACTGAACGAATCGTTTCGCGACAGGTTATATTTAAACTCACGCGATGAAACTGACAACATTACTTACGCAATTTAATCGAATCAATTTCTTCGCAAAAAACAAGTTTTTCTATGCAAGCTATTCAGTCGGTTTATTTTGGAAAGAATTCAAATTTTTCTATTGAAGCCATTCAAGCAATGAAACTTTGATAACTTCAAAGTGTAAGAAACTTTATTATTTCAAATTATTACATGAAACGAATCTGTTGGCAAAAAAGTTTTTCTATTGAAGGCATTCAAGCGATGAAAAAAGTTCTTTTATAGACCAAATCCGTTCGCGAAAAGTCTTTCTAAGCAAGCTATTCCAGTTATAAAACTTGTTCAAGTTCATCGACCTAGTCAGTTCGTGACAAGTTTTGTTACGAAACTTTGAAAGATCTAAAGTAATGTTATAGACCATATCGATTCGCTTCAGCAAGCTATTCAAGCTATGAAATTTTGAAATGCTTCAACCAATTTGAAGCACTGAACAGCTCCGCGAAAAATTTGAAATTTTCTGAGCAAGCTATGGAAGCAATAAATATTTGAAATATTTCAAAATCTTTCATAGCGCAAATCGGTTAGTAGCCAAATGTTAGTTTTATTAAGCGTCAACTTAACTTTGACTTGAAAAGTCTAGAACATTCTACATTCAAAATTTTTTATTAAACACTGAGCTCAATGATCGCTCTTAACCAATGCGCTCATGACAGCTAAAACATGGCATTACTTTTTCTGTCATTCGTTTAACATATAAGACTAGCAATCCCGTCTCTGTTAACCAATTGGCTCGCAAACATGTAGTTGATTTGTTGAAGTTATTGAAGCAATACTATTTTATTAAGTTCAAGTTTATCCTTATAATGAATCGGTTTGCAAAAAATTCTCGAGGCAAGCTATTTATTCAAGCGAAGTATTTTCAATTAACTTTAGTAATTCAACTCGAGCCGATTCGCATAACTTTTCTGAGCATATCATTCTAGAGATTAAAATTTTTCTTCAAGTTATTTCCCATCTTAAATTGATTCGCAGATAGTTATTTTTTCTGATCAAGACATTCAAGCAATGAAATTTCGTAAAACTTACACTATAAACCGAGCTATTTCAAATAAAAACGATTCGCATATAGTTGTGATTTTTCTCAACAAGCGATGAATTCTGGAAAAGGTTGAAATTAAAACATAACTTGTAATGGCTGAGAAAAGTTTTGTCCTAAGCAAGCCAATCAAACACTGAAACTGTTGAACATTTACACGTCATCCTTTTATTAGATTCGCAAACTTATGTTTTCTGAGTAAGTAAATCTAGCGATAAGATTTTGAAAATATTATTTAATAACCTAAGTCGATAAGCAAGAGCTAAATGTTTCCGAGCAAGTCATTCAAGCGATGAAACTTTGAAATCATTCAAGATATTTCATGAAGGGAATCGGTTCGCAAAAAATGGTGTATATCTTTTGAAGTTATTCAACCGATGAAACTTTGAAACATTATTTCAAGTTATTCTATTGACCGAACCAGTTATTTCATAGACCGAACAAGTTTTAAACATGCTAATTCTCAGACCGAACCGTTTCGCGAAACCTTGTAGTTTTCATCAGCAAGCTATTGAAGAAACGATCCATTGAAAAATATCAAGTTAATTCATACAGCGGTTCAGTTTAAGAAAAGTTTAAGTTTTCCTAAGCAAGCTATTCAAGCGAAGATATTTTGACAAACTTCTAGTCATTTCATAGAACAAACCGGTTTGCTAAAAAAACTCACGTTTTTCGTAAACCTATGTACGGGATAAAACTTTCAAGTATTTCATAGAGAGAATCCGTTCGCGAAAAAATGTGTTTCTAAGCAAGCTACTGAAACGATGAAATTTTGAATTAAGCCTATATTTCATAGCATAAATCAGTTTTAAAAAATTATGCTTCTACAAAACTATTCAAGCCATGAAATTTTGAATATCTTCAAATTAGCTCATAGAGCGAATCGGTTCACGAAAAAACTTTTAAACAAGATATTCAAGCTATTGAATTTTATATTTTAAATTTTTAAAGCAAGCAATTAAAGCAATGAAACGCTGAAATATTTCAATTTCATTTCAACACTTCATATAGCGAATCGGTTGGCGGAAAGTTCAATTTTTTCCAAGCAAACTAGTCAGGCTGAAACTTCGAAATGTTTCAAGCTAATTCATTGCGCGAATCGGTTTAGCTTTTCTAAGCAAGAAATTGGTTTTTCTAAGCATGGAGGTTGCTGCTTTTACTTGATTCGTTTCAGACTGAAATGAATCAGAAAACTCAAAACTTTGGCCAAAAAGCGTCCAGCTTTGAATGGGAATCGAGTTCATCGTTTTTTCAAAGAGTTTCGGACTTTTTTCAAAAAGATTTCTTGCAAAGGATTTAGAATGTTTGAAAGTTCTAAAAACATCTTGCCTAAATGCCTCTTCAACATTGAGCTCGACGGTTGCTCTGGATAACGTTGCGCTGGATAAAAGTTAAAATATTGCGTCCATAGCGCATTCAAACTTTCATGTAAAATATAAGATTGTCTAAGATCTCAGCTGCTCAGGCTAAAATATATAATTTGATTGTTTGACTTTGGATCTTTCAAAGTTCAATCTAAGTTCATTTGTCAAGAAGTCAAACAACGAAAATATAAACTTGAGTCTGAGCAACTCAAAAAAAAGACGAGACCAAAACAAGTGTCTTCACTTCGTTCCTTGACACTTAAAACAAAACTTTTCCACTTTCCTATGAGATGACATACATCCTGTTACTCACCATGAATGAGCAGCTGCATTGACCGTTCAGATCAAACGAGGTTGCATAGCGTCTAAGCTTCTAACGCATCAGGCACTTCAGTGAGAAGGATGATGTCGCCATTAAGCTACACTAAAAAGCGGAAATTATAATATTATCACGACTTCCGACAAAACGATCGCAACAATAAACAACAGGGTAAAAAGTGTTGCAAGCTGATACTTATTTTTAGCTTTAACGCAGAGGCAAGGCGAAGCTTTGTATCACTAGCAAAGCGAACTCAAGGTTCCTAAAAAATTCCATTTGTTACTGAAATTGTAAGCTATCTTTTTTGTTTTTTTTTTCACTAGAAAAACCTAAGTTCATTGACACCAAATACAGTTTTGAATCATCAAAGTCAAACAGATTGTTTTGCATCCTTTGCACTTACGTGGCTGTCCAGCGAAAATGAATTTGAAATGAGCTTAAGAAAAAATATCTAAGAGTGCAAGTTGACTCACTTTAAAAATTTTTGAAAATACGACCAGCGTAAGTGAGAATTCACTTCGTTCATCAACATGAATGGGTATATAAAATTTAAACATGTTCCACATATGTCTGCTGGTGTAGACAAGTCTTTCAGTTTCATCTGTCACAGGAGATGCTTCAGATATACCCAAATTTTTAAGGAAAAAGTTTTTTGGACCTGTTCTATTACTCTCGCAAATCGGATAATCAAAAACATAGCCAACAGACAGTTAAGAAAAGAATACAAAAAACCACCAAATCGCAAAACAAATGACAAAACGCCAGAAAACAACCCCCGAAATTTTCAGATGTTTGTCTCAAAATGAAACACATTTTGATGAAAAACTGAGGCAGAAAACAACAACCAGTATTGAACTAGCTTGAAAAACTTGAAATTGCGATACAAGATAAATGTTAAAAAAAGACAGAACTCGAAAAAAAGTTTCTGAAAAAATTAGTTGAAAAAATTACTTGCAGAAAATAAATTGAAAAAAGTGGGAAAGACTACAACAATACAAACTTCATGGTTGTATTAGATGAATTTCATAAACAGCCTTGTATCAGATTAATTTCATAAACAGCCTTAACAACAATTGGAAATTATTCACCGAGTGGCAACAAAGGCGAGAAACTTGAAGTTTTCAAAGTTTTACGACCCATCCACACTGAAACGCATAACCCTAAACGAATATATTTTGTCCTCAAAAATACACAATATCAGTTGACTAAGCCGAAATAACATGAACTGTTTAAACATTTGAATACAAAAATGAAGAAAAAAAATTACACAAAATCTTGAAAACGTTAAAAAATCAATCATTTATTTATTTAGAAATAGGGTTTTGACATTTACTTTTAACTAAAGTCAAAACGTTATTCGATAGTAAAGTCAGCCTTAATTTTAACAAAAATCAAACCGCAAAAAATTAAATTTGAACGAACAAATTTTAGGATTTTTTCACGACAATGTCATGACTGCCTATATAAGTGTTCACTGCGTTCATGGACTCTTAAACAATCAGAGAAGCAGCCATCAGTGACTATCTAGAAGAAATTTGAAACATATTGTAGCTGTTAATTTCTGATCGGCTGTTACTCAGCTTGTCGTTTTGTTCTGACCATGTGAAAAATGTGAAGGAGATTTCTATTCGGATAGGTTTTAGTTTTTTTCTTTTTGTTTTCCACGCAAAAGCAGGTACGATAAATAATTATTGAATGGATCGAGTGATATACCAAACTGATGCCTTTCAGTCGTGATTCGAACGACAAAAAAATTCTCATAAAGTTTTTTCAGTATCGAGAAAAATTGGTTTTATCTTTTGATTTTTATTTCAAGCTTGAGCAAAAGCGAGCGGGCAGGTTTACAACAGCTTTTTTATGCTTAATTTAGGCCATGAAAAATTAATTTTACTGAAGTAGTAGTTTTAGGAGTTTTTTAGCGCCATTTTGGGAGCCAAAAAAATCTTAATCTTTCTGCAAAAAAATATGGTTTTCTTCCTACAAATGATTTTTTTTGTTTTCTAGTCATTTTACTACCAAAACTTTTGTCCAATTTGTTTTTATTACTATGACTGAAGACTATATTCGGAATATTCTGCGCTACTTGCAAAGTAACTGGGACATAGTCAATCAACAGTTAGAGAAGTTTAATTGAACTATATCACGAGTTTTGAAATATACATATCACCTTCAAGCTCTTTGACTCTCCTGAATCTATTATGATCAACGTTTTTGAGAAATTTTAACCAATTTAAAAAAATGGCTCTAAAGGTATTTTTTATTAAGCTGGGAAATTTTGTTCTCGAAATTGGAAGTCAATCATCTTCCTTCGTGTCATTTGAACTTTCATTATAAGAGAGCGTAGTTTACCTTCCATTCAGCAAATGAATTCGAAAAGAAATTAAAAAGCATTCATAATTCAACCCACAAACTTCTGACTTTCTGCGAGGAAAAAGCCCACAAAAGTTCTTACCCATTATGTGGTCGCAACAATAAATCCTCACAGCGTGCGTTGAATTATTTACATTACCTTCTTTGCGAAACCTTCTTCTGACATAGATTCGAAAACTATATTCCTCAGATCGAAAAAGTTAGTAAACATAACTTCATCTGATCTTCATAGCAAAAATTTAAATTGCGAATTATTCATTGCTCATCAGCTGACCAAAAGATGGCGGGATTTACAAATTTAAACAAATTAATATATTGCACATTAAAAATTTCGATAAATAGAACTTTCAACACTTTATTAAAGCTACTATTGCACTTTATTGATTTTCTAAGACTCTTTTCTGTTCAGTTTACAAAAAACACGATAATAAAAAATATTTTTTAAAAAAGGAACTTCAAATTCGCAGTTTTTATAGTTCCCTATTGCAGGCTTCATATGCTTCTTTTTTGATGTATGTAATCAAGTTGAACAACGCAACTTATAAAGAACAGAATTTGTCCAAGAAAAAAATGAGTGCGGTATCAATGCATTTTCAATAATTTATTATTTGATTTCATATTTTAGCTGTTTGAGATATTGAAAAGCTTAATGTTCCCTGAACTTGCAGAGCGAATAATTTTGATTATTTTTGGCACTATTAAAAGCTCGCATACTGAGAATATCGGTCAAGATACTGATCTCCGATGACTTTTTAAAGCCGCCAGAAATAGCCGTTTAAAACACGGCAATATCCCGATGGCTTCAAAATTAAATCTACTTGATGAACATCTTATTACAGTAGCTTTATAGAATATTTAGTGAGCGAAGATATGGAGCTTATATTGAGGAATTATTTGATTGCAATTAGGATAGATAAAAATTAGAACAAATTGTGCATCTTCTTGAGGAAATTCTGCTTCCAGGTGGGAAGCCGATAGAATTCTTCTCTGCTCATTTTGAACAGGGAAAAGAAATCGCCGTCCGATAGATGTGCCTCTAGTTTACTCCTACAAACTCCCTTTGGCATGACTTTGTTCATAGTGAATAGAACCTCTTTGGGGTATATTGGGATCCCGGTGTCTTTGTACTTGCCTGACGGCTCCACTGGCACCTCTTTCTCTTCGTGGAACCTGAGAGAGAGGTAGTGGAGTGTCTTTTCCTGCTTGCTCACTCGCCCCATACTGGCCACTACAAAGCGACAGTAGAGAGAGTTGAAATAGGTGCCCCCGCATGTGGCCATATTTCGTGGTTCCAAATAACTCAGTCTGTACTGTGACCCAGTCTTGGGGAAATAGTTCTCAACTGACGAGCAACTAGTGGAAGGTGTCGCCCAAGACCGTCTGTTCGAATGTGATCTCAGTTGGTCTGGCACTGTTTTGAGCATTCTTCTAAATGAGGTGTGACTGCCTCGCTCCTCTAAGCTTAAATCGAAGTCCATGGTCTCGATCGCTCTACGCGATAATGAGTGCGAACAGTCACTATGCATAAACAATTTTCGTCCACCTAGTAGACCCCTCCCACCATCATTGGTCAGATAATTCTTCACTTCTATTTGCTCTCCTTCCGAAAAACAAAGGTGACAGTTGTGACACTTGGCACAATTTGGGTGAAACGAAAACACTTGATCGTGTAAACTTCGATTCCCAATTTCCAGTCTTTGCTCGCCAGGATCTATAGGGCCGTCGCAGTTGAAACAACGAGAACAGTTATTCACATAGAAGCAACTAGGGCATAACGCCTTCGGAGTCGCGGCTGACGATTTCTGCGAGCTCGTTTGGTCTCCGCTTGAGCGGGACAAATGCGTAGAATTTTGTTGGCGTTCGGCTGCAGCGTCGCGGTAGTGGAAGTATAGTCCATCCAGAAGAGAGTTACATTGTACGCATTTGAAGCACCAGGCATGGAAGCTGTAGCCCATGGCCAGAATTGTGTCTCCACACCGCATGTCCGCACTGTGACATCCTGCACATCTGAGAGAAGTACTGAAAAATATGAAAAATAAAGTCTGTACCGTTTTGACTCATATTTGTGAAGGGCGCTTCTCAAATTTCCAGTCTTCCGATCACCGAATGCTCCAACTATCCCTGAGTGTTTTGTTTTCCACGCAAATGCAGGTCAAATAGGATAAGGTGTAAGCCAAATTAATTTGAAGTTTTCCTAGTGTCGGGAATGAAAGTTTTAAATTTTTGGATTTTTAGATTAGTTCAAATGAGAAACGTTGGTATCACAGCAACTCGCATCGAAAGACCAATTGCAAATATAAAACAAGGATAGCCGGTTACCGTGCTAGTAGCACAGCATGTTCCGACCATAGCCTTTAGAAAACTACGGTTTAGAAAAGTTTTTTTTTCCAAATTAGTGTACTTTTTTCTGCTTGGTGTGATAAAAGAATCTGAGCGAAAAAGTAGAGCTTAGGCATTTTCGTGAGTTATGCAGCATATGCAAAATGAAAAACAATTTTGAAGACAACTAACAAGAAAAACAAAAAGAAAATTAAAATTTTTTTTAAATAATTTTTCAAAACTTTTCCCCAAATGTTTATAAGTTTTTGATTCCTAGGACGAAACAAATTCTCCAAAAATTAACTTCAATAGAGTAAAACGAAAATTTCAATGCTTAAATTAAGCGTAAAAAAGCTAATTTAAGCCTGCTCAATCGCTCGATATTTGACGAAAAATCAAAAATTTCAAACCGGTTTTTCTCGACACCGGAAAACTTTTTTGATTTTCTTTTGTCGTTTGAATCACTAATGAAAGGGCTTCAATATAATATATAACTCAACTCTGTTCCACGATTATTTGTGGTAGCTTATTTTGCGTGGAAAACACAAAGAAGAAAACAACTAAAACACACCCGAATACAAAGTTCCTCTCCGTTTTCAATGGTCGGAACAAAAAACTAAAACAAACCCGATAACAAAGTAACTTCCCATTTTTAATGGTCGGAACAAAAACTCGCAAATCGACAACTTCCAGAAAATCAGATTTTGAAACTTGCTCTTAGACTAAGATGATACGGCATGTGGAGGATGCAATCAGCCACTCAACACGCCGATCAACATTATATTGCCAATGATTTCTTTGCTATTGGAACACCACACTCCCCAAAAAATTACTAAATTTACGGAAAAAATCTGATAATTAAAAAGCAAAACTATTTACGATTAAAAAGCTTTCAAGGTTTTCTAACAAGTCCATCTAAATTCGTCGTGTGACTGTAATTAGCATTGAATTTAAGATCTTTATACATGTCCTACGATATTCAACCTTCTAGTTTTTCATTCAAATGATCAACAGATGAGACAGTCACTAGAACTTCGGAAAAAATCATTAATTTGTCTTTTAGCATTTGAGCTCTGTGTTGTGTAACTGAAAAGGTTTTCTTTAGGGTCCAGGCATTCACGTTGCTTACCTTAAATCGAAATCTTGATTGCAGACGGTTTTGGTACAGTGACTGCACAGAATATCGTGACCAGTAGCACCTGTGGCTCCCATTGTACTGACTCTCTCATTCGGCTTTATCCCACTTCCACATGTAGAACAGGCGAGACAACTACTGTGGTATTTCCTACCCAGTACAGCCATGATCTCCCCTGTGAGATAGCTGTAACACGCTGTGCATCTCTCCCCATACAATATCTGGTAGTGTTTCGGACAAAACAATCTGTCATCTTTCACGAAATATCCACTATCGTCTCCCTCGCCTCCCCTGCCCACGCCTGTAGTTTCAACTAAAGTTGTTTTGCACACTGAGCAGCAGAAACATTTCACGTGGTAGAAGCTACTCTGCAGCCTAGAGTAACTGGATCTCTTTCCACTTTGATCCAAGCCAGAGTCAGGACAAGATTCGAAACCAGAGGAGCTCTCTTCAATTGCAGGAACTGTCTGGACAACTTGGCCAACACACCTTTTTCTGCATGATTTGCAAGAAACACGAGCACGAGAAGTGATTCCAATATGGGATTTAGTTACTCGGAACGGCGATTCCCCTATATTTCCGACACTCGCACTTTCAGCGGCCGAACTACTCGATTGCGAGGACAGAAGACTATCCGTATCAGCCCCTGTCGCGTCTGGGCGAAACAGGTCTCTCCTTTTTGGGAGGTCTTCCTGGAAATGAACTCTTTCGTGCTGCATCGGTCCGCCCGACTTCATATAATATTGCACCTAATATTGCTTACTTGAATATACATAACTTATCTGAAATAAACTATTTGTGGAAGATGAAAACAAAACCTTATCAATAATAGCTACACTGGGGCGGCTGATTAGAAAATGTATCTTTGTAAAATAATAAATTTTGATAAAAATAATCATCAGTAGACGTAAGGTAGTAAGCTTAACTCAAACAGGGCATAATTGGCACTTTTCTTAACGAGTTCAACATCTAAACAAAAATCTTTGCCATACAAAATGAAAACTGAACAAATCAGAAAATATATTACTATTACAGTAGCGTCAACGATGCCTTTTGAGTACTGCGGCGAAGTAATACTGTGAACAAAATATGGACGATATAAATCAAACAGCGACAAGAGAGAGATCAAGGCCAAGATCAAATCTGGCCGAGTCCGAATTAAACGTCGCGCGAGATCAGATGTCAGCCGCGATACAATTGCACACAGGATAGGAGTAGAGAAAATCAGCAGCACATCTCGAATCTTGTAACGACAGATCACGTTTTCTGATTCATAGAAATCCCAAACACTTGCTCCATTTGTTAACACCTCAGCAGGACACTAATTCCAACTCTTGTAGCATCCATTGTACAAACTAATTGATTTTTTTTTTGGTTTTTTGAAATTTTTGCATTTTTGTTTGTTTTTGTAAAATGAACAAAAAACAAGAAGGCTTTCACTCTCTGACCAATGAAACTTCTAGTTAAGATTAGATCAAAAGAGAGCAGAAAAATATAGTAAAACAAAGTATTATTGAGGCCAGTAACACGAACAAATCGAGTTTCATGATTGCTCGTGGGGCGAGATCCCGTCTCTTTTTCAGTCTATGAATTACCAGGAGATGTTCCAGTAGACTGCAGTGAACCGGTCTCATCTGTTGAGGTTCAGCTTAATGCCCAAAAGAGGCTGACTGGCTGTCTTCTTATCTACGAGCACGGGTGAGGAGACAGCTAGATCCGATGAAAGTTTGGCCTGTTCTGACTGAAAAAGAAATTAAAAACATTGCTTCAACCTAATTCTTACAATCATTACAAAAATTGTTTGCTAAAAGAATGGAAGCAGGGTAACGAAAGTCAGTTCCCACTGGAGTTCCATGTAGCGCATCGCCAGAGCACTCAACGACATAAGAAGTTAGAGGGAACGGTCAAGGGCAACCATTCGCTCTCTGCCTCCACCCGCTGATTGAGACTCATCGCAAGACTCTTTTAGGCAGCAGCTACCAGAACCACCAGTGCCAATGTACGACTCATTCACCAAATTGACAGTCAAGTCAGGGTACTCAATCGGTTCAGACAGGGCGTTATTTGGCAGGAGAGAAGAGAGAGCACTTACTCGCTTGTTGTTGTTTGCATTGGTCGGGTGATTTGGGTGTTCTGTGCTTAATTCTACCTCTGAGAATCTACGCTTACTGACCAACTGTGACTGCTGACTGAGTTGGTTGAGGTTGGGGTGCGTGGAGGACGATAGCTGGGCCGCCTGGTTGTTGCGATAGGTGGCCGTCAGTCGTTCCAGGGGCGTCTCCAGAAGAGTGGGTGGAGACTGAGGTAGCTCTATGACGTCATCGTCTATCTCCTCCTCGTCCGTCACAGAGATAACATGCTCAATCCACCGTTTGTCTTCACTTCCATTCACTTCCACTTCCTAAGTTAGCTTGTTCAATACTAGTTACATGAAGAAGAACAAATTTACATCCATCCAACAACAGATGATAAAACTCGAAACAATCATAGAACATCTTACACGGTCGCGTGTAACTCACCTGTTTAAGCTTGTGGTGTACATTAAGAGGTGAACTGCTGTCCACTTGTACACCCTCCACTTCCGGTTCTGTTTGCGCGTCATCCTTTACGACGTCCTCTCGAGGTTCGGATGTTTGACACAGGTCCTCATTTAGGCAAGTTACGTGAGCTTCTGCCTTGACACAAAGGTCCAAGTGTTCCTTCTCCACATCTTCGCATAAATAAACTTGTGATCCGTCGGGCAGGGAACCTCCAATTTTGCTAGTGGAGGAGGTGATTCCTGCAGAGGGCACAGTTGCATTCGGGGCTGATGTGTTTGATGGCTGTGAGGATGTGGCTGAGCAGATTAGCTCCTTTTTCTTACTCTCTGCCATGTCCAGTTCCTCCTTCAGCTTCATCAGCTTAGACCCCTCACTTCGCTTACCCTCATCGTCACTTACATCCATCGCCTGAGACATAAACATAACTGAACGGTGGCAAAGTGCACTAAAAATAAGAACAAAGAGACAAGCAGCACTTCGCGAAGAACACACGCAAAAACTAACAGGCAAAATGGAGCCTGGAAAATGCACTTCAAACTTCTATTTTTATATTTTTTCCGTATTATTATGGCTGATTGCGTGATGTTAAGATGTAAAATATGAACAACAAAGCACATCACAATAGTAAGCTTATTCACAATGCCACATTTGATTTCATTGCACAAAGGCAACGCTGCACTTCGCGAACAAAAACAAATAAAAAGCCAAGAAGTAACTTTTAAAAAGTCACAAGAGAAAAGTAGCCTGCAGACAGTTGAACGTAAAAAAACAGGGAAAAAATACGGAGTTGTATATTGAAAAAATCTCAACTTTTATATTAACTAAATGACAAAAGAAAAAAGATGATCGTAAACCACTTCGAAATTCGAGAACAATTTAATTTGTCACTTTTTGGATAAAATTAAACTAATGTGAAAAGAAAACAGGAACAAAAAGGTTTGCAGTTTTATTCCGCCGGGAAAACTGCAACCCAAAATCATTTGATCACCTTAAAACTACTGCTGTTCGATTCACAAAGGAAATGAACATAAGTTAAAAAGAAATCCAAGATCGGATCAATTAAGCAATCTAACCCCCCCCCCCCCCGTAATCCGTAAATGACCAATTGAGCTATCTTCCCCTTCCTCCTTAAGCAAAAACGGTAAAACGCTACAAAAAGACGTCAGCAAACACAAGTAGATGGTTGATGTGTTCGGAGCACACAATCAAATGACCGACTAAAGTTGCTTATTTTATATGAGTGTCGAGAAAAATTTTGGAAAAGAAAAAAACCGAATTTTATATAAAAAAAAGTTTTTCATATTTTCTGTCTTTGAGGACAGAAAAAAGTAACGTTATATGCCTCAGTTTATTGATTCTTTTTCACTTTGATTGTACTTTTTGAGCTTTGATATTGAAAACTATGGTGTTCGACATTCGTTGGAGAATCTGTTTTATGATTTCATATCATTCAAACTAATTTCAAGCTATTATAAAGATGTCTCAAGTACCTATTGATCTTTATCCCCCGAAGCGAGAATGAGGGGAGATTTCTCAATTGATCCCAAAGATCAAGCTCCGAAAACTCAAGTTTGAACTTCTCCCAAAAACAAAAATCAACGTAGAGACTCTTAACAATTTTTCTTTAAAAAAATTGAAAAAACTAGACTCAATCAGCGATACAACAATTCTAAGCTGAAAAACTGGGCTTAAAAGAGATTTGCTGGCCTGCCTTAATTTAAAAAAAGATCTTTTAGTTACTAAATTAAGTGCATGCGACACCTGAAGTGATTTGTAGCATTTTTTGCGATCCAGAGGTGAGTAAAAAATATATGTTTTCGTTAAAACGACTCGAAATTAGGTCACTTAACCGATACAAAAATGGGCCGAAATCATTTGAGCAGAATAAATTTTTTAAGCAAAAAAACACAAGGATAGCCGGTTACTGTGCAAGTAGCATAGAATGTTCCGAACACAGTCTTAGAAAAATACAGACACGCTTTTTTTCAAATTAGTGTCTTTTTTCCGCATGGCGTGATAAAAAGATCTGAACGAAAAAAAGAACTTAGGCATATTTGACAGTCATAGTAAAAAGACCATTCGTAAAACAGTTTGTGAAGAAAATTGACTAGAAAAACGGAAAATAATCGGAATTTTTAATCTTTGTTTACAAAATTGCACTAAAAAACTCACAACTACTTTTATTTGAGTACAAAATAAGTTTTAATGGCTTAAAGTAAGCTTAAATAAGCTATTGTAAGCCTACATGCTCATACCATATTAGTTCGAAATCAGACCAAAAATCAAAAATTTCAAACCAGTTTTTCTCGACACTCTGACCAAAACGTTCAAAAATTTCAATGTCGTGCAAATCAGGATTGAAAAGGCTTTAATATGATATATCACTAGGGATATATCATAAATTTGGGACCAAGTTAACATCCTCCCCTAAACACGTTTAAGGGGGAGGATATTAACTTGGGAATTTTCAGGCAATCAGAATCGAGCATTTTACATGCAGCGCTTAGCAAATTTAATTCAATTTAAGCGCTGGGGTGGAGGATCTTAACTTGGTCTATTAGGGGGGGAGGATGTTAGCTTGATCCCAAATTTGTTTCAAGGGCAAATTTGTCTGAGACACAAATTTCTGGTACAATTTTATAAGTTAAGACATTTTTTTCAAGGACAGATGTCCCGGGACACAAATGTCTATGCACCTAAACCGGAAAAGATAACTTGAGCAATACACTGATACCGAAATTAAACACAAAAAATTAAACGCACAAATGAAAGACTTCGGTTGTAGAAGAAACAAACTCGTACGATAGCACGAAGCAGAATTGACATTGAATTTTGTTACAGAACACGAAAATGGACGCGAATAGAATATGAAAACATCAAATACCTTGGTTTTCTTCTCCACGTTTTCCATCTCAACAGAGCTCTCGGATTTCCGTTTTCTACCTTGCGGCTGAAAAAGAGATCTTTGAATGAATTTTCTTTCACGCTCAACATTTCTTAGAAACAGCGCAGCTGTGATGTATCTCTGTTTTTGCTTGCATCAAATGCGCTGCACAATAACGAAGTCGATAGCTTTAAATAATTACCTCTGCATCAATATCGACCTTTTTCCTGCTGGTTTTGAGGTTTTTGAGTACATTTTGTGGCAAGTACTGCTGCAAATCTTTCTTCTTCACATACCGCGCTTCAATCGTCATTCCAGGCTTCAAAAGACCGTTCTTGTACGCAGAGTGATGAACTAAAAACACTCGCGAAATTAACTCAGATGATCTTTTATCATTCACGGCCATAATTAAAAAATGATTATATTTCATCTAATAATCGAGATTCGTACGATTTAAAGCCATGGTTTTTTTCCAACAATAATGTTTCAAAAAACTTTCTGGCCAATTGAACGCAAATCCCAACAAGTTTATTGATATTTACTCTAAACTCACAGAGATTTTATGATATCTCACTACATCCACTTTCTAGTATAACAGAGAGCTCAGAAACAACTGTGACGATACGATGATAAAGGCAAAACCAATTTGCTTTTTTTGCTTCCGATCAGTAGAAACCACAACTGCTTTAATTTTTGTTCGGACAAACAATGATTTTTTTGAATAACATTTTCAAAGAACTTCCTAGTTACTTGCAAATGAATACCTGTTTGAGAAAAAGACTGAATTTCGTATGTGAGGTCAACATTAGTAGTGGTGAGTGCATTCTGGTCGAACGTGATGCCAATAAACCAACGCGTTGAGCAGGGGTCAGATGGCGACTGGCTAGAAGCTGTTTGGCTGTCTAAGAAATCGCGATTGTCGTAAGAGCTTGGATTCACATGTGCCAAAGAAACAAAAGATTTCTTCTCTAAGTTCTGAACTAAAATTCGTATTTTACTTTCCACCAGACCATACCTAAGCACAAAATCAGACTAAGTAAAGATGCTTTCACAAATTCTTGGGCTTTGACGAGAAGACCAAACTTTGCACAATCAATTTTAGCTTAAAAAAGTTTTTATCAAATCAAAAACTTCGGTTATTCATAGAATGGGACGCTTTTCTAGATCTAGACACTAAGTTACTCATCGCCGGCTATGTAACAGCATTAAAAAAACGCCATTATCAACAATCACGAAGTCAACTAACCATTCGAGATGGTCGGCTAAACAGCTGGACTGAGCGAAAAGAACGATGAAATGTTTGTATTTGTTGTAAATGTAGAAGGGTTCAAAAAGTTTGGACCAAGCAGAGTCTATTGGTTGCACGTGCGAAGCTCCCGCCATGCCCTTAGCCCGTCTCTGCTTTTCCTCTTCTGTCCTGGCCAACTCAGCTTTTTTGATCTCTTGCACTGTTTTGAATCCCTCTGCTAGGAAATCCTTCATTATAGTTAGGGTACTACATGATACGTTATACGAAGAGTTCTGTTCCGGGAAGGCTGGAGTGATTATTGGCATGAAATGAAGTCGGTCGGCCACTACTGTCTGTGCAAAAAACGGAGCCTCAAACATCAAAAAACAAAAGTACAGCTAAATCTTCAGTTTTATCAGTTTTGAACTACCGTTGGATCCCACACAGGAAGGTTGATACCGTGAACATTAGATGACGGCTTGCACAGGAGCACAGGAGTAGGCCACTTCCTGAAAATATAGCCAAAAAACACTGGGGATACTGTTAATCAACTAGAGTAAAACAGAAAAACATAGCCAACAAACAGATGCCAAAGAGTCAATGAACGCAAATAGAAAATTTTTGAAAAATCTTAAGAATTTCCCAAAAAAAAAATTGAACTGAATCGAATTTAAACTTAGCCAATAAACAACTGGGAAAGTGTCAATGAGCTCATGTAATGCAGAAAAAATAGCTCTTCGATAGAGGAGTTAACCTTCCTTTTAACAAAGGAAATGAACTGAACTTCAAAAAATCGAAAGTCAAACCACGAAAAATCAAATTTAAACGTGAACAAATTTTAAGAGTTTTTCCTAAAAAAAAACATTACCACCTATATAAATGTCGTCACTACGTTCATTGACACTTTAAAAAAACAAAGATTAAATCTATTCTGTTGTATGAGCCTCTTTGCGCAAAGAAAGAAGAAATACCAGCAATTGTAGACAAGGAAAAATTTCTCCACCAGGGTAGCAGGAGCTGCTCTAGGATACAACTGACACACTCTGGCGACCAACATGGCCCAAGACACACCTCCAAGAAACCCCAGCACATTGCTGTAAATTCCCTTCCGCCGCGCCCACAATTTGATCACGTGCAGTGTGAGTCTGAAAGCGTCTCTGTCAGGTACTAGCTTTAAAATCTCATCAGTGACGCGTGTACCGTTGAGAGAACGGACACAAGATATGTGCAAGTTCTTCAGTACTTCTTCATTGCCCAGGTCGGTCTCGTCTGTCACTGTCTGCATGTTTAGCCGAGCAAATAGAATGTCCATTTCGATGCCTCCAAAGTACATTTTGATCACAGGTACAAAGGCATCCTCAACAGCCTAGAACAATTCATGAATAGCAAATAAAAAGTATTCCTATCAATAGAAAAAAAAACAGGTACAGAACAAGAATGACGTTTTATTATTGATCAAAACCCTTACGCTATTCATCACTTCAACTTCGCGAAAAAATCGTCCAGAAAAAAAAACGCTTATTTGGTAAAGTACAATCCAGCAAGAAACTACTTAAATTGACCAGAACATAAAACTAATTATCGATGATCAAATCGAATGCTCTATTCACCTAACGACATTGCAGCACCAAATGTCAAGGTGAGTCACTAGAAGTTATGATCACCAAAAAATCGAAAAAGTTCAACAAACTATTTTTAAAATAATCGAAGATTACCAGAACAAGAACGACTATATATCATTGACCGAATCACCTGCTCTACTCATCAATTTATCTTCAAAAGAACTTCAACAAAAACTACCAACTGACATTTGATGATTTATGGAACCGGCACAGAGGTAAGAAAATTGAAGTTCTGCGTTTAATTTCAAATTAGGACTCGATTACAAAATCCCTAAAAAAATTTATTCAAGCAACCACTTCATGTTAAAATTGTCAACCAAATACAATCGAAAATTGAAAAAACGTTGAAGAGCCTTGAGGAAAACCGAAACTGAACGTTACATCAATAAAAACCATCAATTTTATCATGTATGATCACCACTGGTTCAAAATCACAAAAAAACTACATCATTAAATATTTCTCTGAAATTAATTGCTGATTCCCTGTACTTGGACACGTTAAGAAAAAACGAAATCAAATTTTAGTCTTCGTTTCACTGGACTCACTTTTGCAGCAGTTCAACATGAACAAATCAAAGCTAGCCCAATGAAGATGATCAGAACAAGAACGACTATTTATTATTTATCAAAACCCCTGCGCTATTCATCACTTCATTTTGCGACATTGACAGGAAAAAACGCTTTTTGAAGAAATAATGATCCAGCAACAAACAACTTAAATTGAACAAAACATTAAAAACTAATAATCGATGAATAGATCGAATGTACTATTCAATTATTCTCCTTTCAGCAACTAATCTCAACGTGAACTTCTAGAAAGAGAACGGTACATCAAATACAAACTCATTCAACTTTCATCAAGTAAGATCGGCAATGGTTTAAAATACCTATAAAAAAAATCAAAAATAACTAAATCATTAAATTAATTCTCTTGAATTAACCGCTGATTCCTAAAACTAGAAAATGTTCAAAAAATCGAAATCAATTTTTAGTCTTGATCAATTGGGACACGTTTTTGAAACAAATAATCGTGAACAACTCAAGGATTATACCATGAAAATGATCAGAACAGGAGGAATTATTCATCAGTGATCAAAACCCTTTCACTAATCATAAATCTTTGCAAAAAAATTGACAAAACAAAAACTATTATATGGTGAAAGTACAACCCAGCAAAAAACAACCGTATTTGATCAGAACGTTAAAAAATAATCAGTGACGATCAAATCGAATTTTCTATCCACCTGATGAAATTGAACATGAACAACCCACAGCTGGCCCAATGAAGATGATCAGAACAAGAATGACTATTTATCATTGATCAAAACCCCTGCGCTATTCATCACTTCAACTTCATTCTTTTTGGTAAAATTACAGCCAGCAAAAAACTACTCAAGTTGACCAACACAAAAAAAAACAAATTATCGATGATTAAAACGAATGCGCTTTCCAATTATTCGCTTTTCAGCAACTGATGTCAAAAAGAATTTCTACAAAGAACACGGTAACCTGAAAAAATCTCAAGCCATTTTCGTCATTAATGATCGGCACTGGTTTGAACTCACTTAAAAATTACATCATTAAACTTATTTTCATGAATTGACTGCTGATACCTAAAATTTCAAAACGTTCAAAGAAACGAAATCAATTATTCGCCTTGATTTAACTTGACACACTTTTGGAGAACTTAAACCTGATCAACTCAATTTTAACCCAATGAAGATGGTCAGAACACGAATAATAAATTAACATTGAAAAGAAAACCTTGAACTATTGATTCATCTTCGCGAAAAAGTTGACAAAGAAGGTGTATTTGTTGAAAGTACAATTCAGCAAGAAAACAGCTTAAGTGGCCGTTACAAGAAAAATTACTTAACGATGATGAAACCGAATGCGCAATTCGCCTATTCACCTTGCAGCAACTATGGTCAAGCTAATGATTTAATGATCAATGTGAAGTCAAACTAAAGAAATTATGATCAGAAGGCAATCGGAACAAATCAACAAACCAATTTCACACAGATTCGAAGCGGAGTTCGCAAAACTGGCGATGGAAAAGCACATTACGCTACAAATAAGTGAAAAAAAGTTATTTACGGGAAAAAAGTCTTGTACCCGTTTACAAAACCCTTGCTTATTTCAAGGATGAAAATTATCAAAGATGATCAGAAGAAGAATGACTTTTTATCATTGATCAAAACAACTGCACTACTCAAAATTTTATCTTTCAGAAAATTTTAGCAAAAACTAGCGATAGACAATTGACAAATTATGGAAACGGGACAGAAAGTGATAAGATTTCTACGTTTTAAGAACTAATAATTCCAAACTCAAGCTCGATTTCAAAATCGCTTAAAAAACGTTTCGTATTAACCTTTTCAAGTTGAAATTGTCAATTGAGCTCAATAGAAGTGAAAAGGCTTTGATGAGTCTTGATAAAAACCAAAAAAATAACATTACATCAAAAAAAACCTGATTCAGTTATTTCATGTATAATCGATACTGATTCAAAAAAATAACTACATCACAATATAACTTCTCTTGAATCAATTGCTGATTACCAAAATATTGAGAAAAAAAACAAAATCAGAGAAACAATTTTTCAATAATTGAAGAATGACTATATAGCATTGATGAAAACATCTGCGCTACTCGTTATTTAACCTTCGAACCAATTTTAACAAAAACTACCAAAAGGCAGATGATAATGTATGGAAACGGAAGAAAAATGAAACCAAATTTTGCGTTTTAAAGACTATTAAAATCAAATTAGGGCTCGACTTCTAAAATGCTATAAAAATGTTTCACCCAATTACTTGAAAGTTGAGACTGTCAACCGAGTTCAATCCAGAATTGAAAAAGCATTGATGAGCGTTGAAGAAAACTTAAGAAAGAACGTTACATAAAAAACCTCATTCAGTTTTATCATGTATAATCGATACTGGTTTAAGTATAACTACATCATTACACTACTTCTCTGGAAACAATTGCCGGTTACCAGAAACTGAAAAATGAGAAAAATCGAAAACAATTTTTCTTTTAGTTTTAACTGGACTCAATTTTGGAACAATTGAACATGAACAACCCACAGCTGGCCCAATGAAGATGATCAGAACAAGAATGACTATTTATCATTGATCAAAACCCCTGCGCTATTCATCACTTCAACTTCATTTTTTTTGGTTAAATTACAGCCAGCAAAAAACTACTCAAGTTGACCAACACAAAAAAAAACAAATTATCGATGATTAAAACGAATGCGCTTTCCAATTATTCGCTTTTCAGCAACTGATGTCAAAAAGAATTTCTACAAAGAACACGGTAACCTGAAAAAATCTCAAGCCATTTTCGTCATTAATGATCGGCACTGGTTTGAACTCACTTAAAAATTACATCATTAAACTTATTTTCATGAATTGACTGCTGATACCTAAAATTTCAAAACGTTCAAAGAAACGAAATCAATTATTCGCCTTGATTTAACTTGACACACTTTTGGAGAACTTAAACCTGATCAACTCAATTTTAACCCAATGAAGATGGTCAGAACACGAATAATAAATTAACATTGAAAAGAAAACCTTGAACTATTGATTCATCTTCGCGAAAAAGTTGACAAAGAAGGTGTATTTGTTGAAAGTACAATTCAGCAAGAAAACAGCTAAAGTGGCCGTTACAAGAAAAATTACTTAACGATGATGAAACCGAATGCGCAATTCGCCTATTCACCTTGCAGCAACTATGGTCAAGCTAATGATTTTATGATCAATGTGAAGTCAAACTAAAGAAATTATGATCAGAAGGCAATCGGAACAAATCAACAAACCAATTTCACACAGATTCGAAGCGGAGTTCGCAAAACTGGCGATGGAAAAGCACATTACGCTACAAATAAGTGAAAAAAAGTTATTTACGGGAAAAAAGTCTTGTACCCGTTTACAAAACCCTTGCTTATTTCAAGGATGAAAATTATCAAAGATGATCAGAAGAAGAATGACTTTTTATCATTGATCAAAACAACTGCACTACTCAAAATTTTATCTTTCAGAAAATTTTAGCAAAAACTAGCGATAGACAATTGACAAATTATGGAAACGGGACAGAAAGTCATAAGATTTCTACGTTTTTAGAACTAATAATTCCAAACTCAAGCTCGATTTCAAAATCGCTTAAAAAACGTTTCGTATTAACCTTTTCAAGTTGAAATTGTCAATTGAGCTCAATAGAAGTGAAAAGGCTTTGATGAGTCTTGATAAAAACCAAAAAATAACATTACATCAAAAAAAACCTGATTCAGTTATTTCATGTATAATCGATACTGATTCAAAAAAATAACTACATCACAATATAACTTCTCTTGAATCAATTGCTGATTACCAAAATATTGAGAAAAAAAACAAAATCAGAGAAACAATTTTTCAATAATTGAAGAATGACTATATAGCATTGATGAAAACATCTGCGCTACTCGTTATTTAACCTTCGAACCAATTTTAACAAAAACTACCAAAAGGCAGATGATAATGTATGGAAACGGAAGAAAAATGAAACCAAATTTTGCGTTTTAAAGACTATTAAAATCAAATTAGGGCTCGACTTCTAAAATGCTATAAAAATGTTTCACCCAATTACTTGAAAGTTGAGACTGTCAACCGAGTTCAATCCAGAATTGAAAAAGCATTGATGAGCGTTGAAGAAAACTTAAGAAAGAACGTTACATAAAAAACCTCATTCAGTTTTATCA